ATTCAATTGATATTTCTGAAAAACATTAATTTTTAGAATTACTGTTGCTTAATATATGACACTAGTGCCTTTTCATATCAAAATGTGAACTCTGTTTAAATATCAAATGTACTTAAGAGAAACATTATAAAACAAAATGGTATTTATTTACCTTTAATTTTATTTGAAGTGTTGGTCCATTTCATCTAAGAAATAAAAATAATGTGTTTGATGATGTTGATAGCATTTTATTATCCTTTACTGTCCATAGGATTAGTAGTAATATCACATCTTTCATTCCTGATATTGATAACTTATTTCAAGAGAGAAGTTTTTCAACACCTATAACATGAGTCCTTAGAGCCACTGATTTTTGAGTGCCTTCTCTATATAGTCATTCTCTTGACAATTAATATGAAGCACAGGTATGTATGTGACTTGCTTCCATTCCCATAGTTCCATTCACATGCTTCTTATCTAGACTTTCATCTATTCAATTTCTAATCCTTCTCCTTCCAAGACTTTGAACATACCAGCCAAATTAATCTCCACAGTCCAGAATACCACCTCATTAGATCCCCTGCGTTACAAAGTACAGTACCAAGTGTACTGCTCACAATTCAGCTAATTAGGAGTTTTCCCATCAACACTATTCTTTAGGGCTACTTTAACTGATGCTGAAGTGTGGCAGTAGTCAATTTACATATATCATTAACATTTAATGCTGACATCTGTGCATCAGGTTTGATATTTGCCTCTTCCATTTGTTGGTCATAGGTCACCTTCTACTCCATGAGCCAATAGAACTGAAGGGAGGGACATCATTGCAATAATTGTCAGTGTGGGGGCTGAGGTTGTGGCTCAGTGGTAGAGTGCTTGCCTAGCAAGAGTGAGGCACTGGGTTCAATTCTTAGCACCACATATAAATTAATAAATAAATAAAGGTCCATCAACAACTGAAAAAAATTAAAAAAAATAATTATTAGTGTCACAGAGATTTGTGCAACCTGATGATTTTCTTGTGCTATATCAGGCTGGATACCAATAGTATCATTTCTAACATGGGGTGGACTGCTGTTTAGCCTGTTGGACCTTAACACTTGGTGAATTTTAATGTACAGCTTATGATTGGCAGGTTCTATCATATAGTCACTTGCTGTCTATTGGGTTAGACTATTATTTATTAAGACTTAATAGTATACAAGGAGTTATTTTTTAAATGGCACTTAGTTTATAGGACACAGTTTTTCCTCAGAGCCTCAGAATTCTGTGTTGCAATATATTCTAATCCTTATAGATAATACTGGAAAAGATCTTAGCACTATCAGATAATGCTGAGTCATATGGCTTTAGTGCTAGGACAACTTGTACTGTGTATCTTCACCTTGGTAGGGGACCATAATTTTCCACTGCAGCTAACATCAGATTTAGCTGAGCAGGTCACATCTTATTTTTGTACATAAGAAGTAATATACCAGCCACCTGTCCATATACCTAGCCCTGGAATACTACTATCTACCAGTCATTGCTACAGATTTTAGTCAATCAAAATTACCTGATTCTAATCTGATCTTGCCTCCCATTAGGGAAAAGATACTTACCTTGCCTCTCGGGTTTTGTGCTGCCACTTAGGCCCTACAATTCTGGAATCTCATCATCCTCATTGCAATATAGTTTACTTCCAACCATGGTTTGCCAAGGAGAGCCAACACTTGAGATACTAAAAAATGTCAAGTGTTTCTCATCAACACATTTCTTATCATTACTGTGCCTTCTCGTCCCTCCTAGGGAAAATAGTTCAGAGATAGGTTCTGTCTTCTCACACACTAAATCATTTCTTATACTCCTATCCCCTTGGCGATCTCACCAATTCCTCAGTACTCTGGCAAAAATGTTCCAGTAGGCTGTTTTGGTCCAAGCTTAAAAGATGCCACACCAGTAGCATATTAGGCCAACTCCAGGTCTTTGAACCAAGTTATAGGTGTGTGATCCCATGTTGCTAAGTTCTCCTCTATATTCACTTAGGTTCTGCTCTCCTTCCATACTAGTTTGACATCCTCAAAATGCATTCCACCATATATTATCCTATTTTATTATAGTATATCTTAGCCCATTCCTACTAGTTCTTTCTGAATATAAAGTTCTTCTCCACCTAATTAGAGACTGCAATTTGCCCCCTGTGCTGTGATGATACCTTATCTTTGTTATGAGCTGGAGGCAATGAAAAATATCAGCACTGGTTGTTGACTAATACAGGCAACATCTTTTGAGGTAACTGTATCTGATGAGTTTATTGCATTTTCTCCAGAAAGAGGCTGTCCTCTGATAGCATGGGTTTAGGTGGCTGCAAATGCCAGGCTGAGGGATCAGGTGATTTTAAGTATTCAAGATTCTTACATTAATTTATATTCCATGTCTCAGAGTTCTACTCATCATAGATAGATGATAGGTACCTAGACAAATGGATAGAGATACCTATAAATATTATGGATGCTGTCTCCCTGAAGTCCTACAGACCTTACAAACAGATTCTGGGCCTCATATTCAGCAGTCTTTTATAACTGAAAATGAGAGTCTTCTAAATCCAATGGGTTAGGGTGGATGATGGGTCAGTCTTTCCCATCAGAGATACAAACCTATGCTAGAGACCCAGCTTAGGGCAATCTTAGAGCCTTCCTTAACAACTACTCAGGCTAGAAGTAATCAGAGTCCCCATTCAGTTGGACGCTAAACCCATCTTCTTCCATAACCCAAATACCATTCAGTCACCTACTCAAAGAGAATAGATGTGTCTGAGGCACACCTGCCTCACCTGAACATATGCCACAAGATAAATGACATATCAAGAGAGATCCAATGCTCATTCTTTACCCCAAATCAGATACCCAGGAACTCTCAAATAGGGTGAAACAAGGGTCTTTGGTTTTTGAATACAGGCAGTCAGTCCACAAGGTTAATAAAATATTTCTCATTGTGATGAGGTTGTACATTGTAATCATCTTAAAAATTACATGAATATTTACAGGAATAATATCTTCTGTGTGCCCTGTAATCTAACCTCAGGGCACACCATTAAACCACATTATCACTTTCTCACCTCATAAGGCTATAAATGAGGTAGTAAATATTAAATTAGGTGGTAAAATATTAGAAACAGGAGATAGATAGCTCAATGAAAATGCTGAAGTGGGTAATACATTGGAATCAGAGGGACACAGTATTATAGCATGAATAAGGGTGTTTTCCTAGATTATAAAGTCCACATATTGTGTGGTAATGGTATGTTTTCAAATACTTTTCAAGGCCATGAGGAAACTATTTTGGATTAGTTCAGGCTGGATCCATAGAAGATTTTGTGGGATCTGCAGCACATAAAATTGGGAAGGCTTTTTTCTAAAATAACACAAAATCAACCATGGAAATGAATATTTATTCAGAATCATAACTTATAACAAACATTAAAATGATGGCACCTACAAAAAGCAAAAATTCCAAAAAAACACAACACATCACTTATGTAGCTATATAATCTGGAGTATGGAGTAAATATCCAAAGTGAAGGAAATAATGGTTTTATTACAAATCAAAATACCAAATTTTTAAAAATTTTAGATACACATGTAGCTATGTGAACACATAACAAGAGCCCAAGAATAACAGCTGTCTTACTCGAAGATGTAAAATTGTAGACAGGTTCATGTTAAGTCTTCAGCACTTCTTATCATAACAAGTTTTTAAAAACAATAAACTAGTTTTTCTAAGATGTAGTCTCACAAAAATCTTGTTTTGAGTTACAATATATTCATCTGCTTCATCCTATCGATTGTCTATATTTAACTATATTTCGGTAATTGCCATATTTAACCAATGGGGGCTTTTTCTGTGATCCATTTCCAAATTCCCAGGTTTTGGTCCATCTACTCCTTCTGATAGTTTGGAATGACTTACTAGTTGACATATTAGTACTGGAATCAATGGGAACTTCTGTACAAATAAGCCGGATGCTAAAGTTTGCTTGATTTGAGACAAATGACTACATATTTTGAAATAAGACTCAGAATGTAGTGCTTGCTTTTTCTACAGTTTGCATCAAACTACATGGGCTCTTAAGCAGTAAGTCTGGACTTTAGAGTGACCAGACTGTGGTTACAATGACTGTAGCTGCCTTTTACATGTGGTCAGACAGCTATAATAAGAAGATCCACTCTTGGTTAGTTATGAAGACAGCCAAAAGCCTGTCTGTTTTAACAAACTATTCAACCATTTTAAGGACAGACACTGAATAAAACTGAATTTCATGGAAGTATAGAATTGGTTATCCTGTTCAAGGCTGCTGAAATATTTTCTGCATGCTGAAATGTTATTCACACAAATATAGACTGCATGCAGATAATCCATTTACTTTATTTTTTAACTTTAGACTATTTTGCAAAAGCAACTGTGGTTAGTTATAATATGCAGCAAAGCTTATCTATCATCTATCTTTGGTTCTATGTCTTAGAGATACTTTTTTTCCAAAAATAAATAGGCATGGCAGGAAAAATAATTCAACTATTTTAAGAGAAAACCCAGTATTTTATAAAAAATTAAGCAAAAAAATATAATCATGTTTCTTTTAGACTTCTTTTCTAACTATCTTGCTTAATATCTAACACCAGTGCAACTTTAATATTGAAATGATTGTGCATACTGCATTTTCTTATACAGCATACACACAAAAATGTCATAAAACCAAAGAGTACTTTCTTTTAAAAATTATTTAGGAATTATGCATTCTAAAAATGTATTTGAAAGTAAAAATTCTGAAATATGCTGATGAAATTGACTCTGAAGAAGCATAAGAAAATAAACATGTAGTGATCTCTGCAGATCCTAGAGATCTTTAAAAAAAAGTGAACATGTTGCTCAAAGTCTTTCCTTTTCAGAAAATATTTACATTGTAGAGAGAACTGTTAAAATGAGATTTTTTTTAAACTAACATCTGTAAAAGCTCCTTGTTATGATTTTGACTCTTGGGATATTTAATGAGCTTCATTTGTTAATGGTTTCCGTCTCTTTTCAAATATGATTTTTGCATCAAATAATTCTCTTTCCCTATAGCCGAGAGAAGGCCCTTTTAGATACTTTGCTTCAGCTGCTTCATAATCTAATCCATCAACAGCAGAAATTGAGAAAATAATTGCTTCTGGCAGGAGAACTTCCAGGATGAATTTAATTTTGTCATGTTTTATCCGAGTCAGCATGCTTTCATCTATTTGTTTGTAGATTTCCTGTAAATATTTCACTACTTCATCCAACTGATCATCATCTTCAAAGTATGTTTCAATACAGGGTGTGAACCTATTTGCATTCAAAAATGATTTCAGCCATCTGGATGCTTTGGTGCCTTTTAAAATGGCCAAAAGATGGTTTTCTGTTCCCTTTGCATTCACAATAAAGTCCACCAGGTTCTTGTTGGCTCGGTCCCGAGCAGCCTTCATCCTGTCAGGGAGAATTTTCTGGAAGGCCATTTTCTTGGTCTGGGAAGTCACAACCATTTGTTCCACAGTATCATCACTCTGGAGCTTTGGAAATCGATTCCTGAAGGTATCCTGTTTGATTGCTTTCCTGATTGGATAACTAATGTCAGCAGCATAGTACTCAAGGAAAGAGCCTGTAAAAGATCCACAACCTATTCTAACTCTGTAGTCACAAATCAATGAAATGCACCAGTCGATACTTTCACTATACTCCTCCCTGGCTTTATCCACTAGTGCTTGTTTCTCCTTACAATCAAACTTTTTTAGTCTTCTGAATGGTACTCTAATGCCTTTCTTCTCAGGATTTATGTTTGCCTCAACAAAAAGCACACTTGCTTTCCTCTCTTTACGCCTGATACTTTTTACCACTGCTGGCCAAAATGGGTATTTTTGATATTTAAACCAGACTATCATTCCTGTTTCAAATGAACGTGGCTCATAATTTAAAATGAAGCGTGGGAGTTCTTCATCTTCCTCATTGTCATCTAGTGCAGAAGCACTAACAGGATTTAGATTCGGTGACTTGTCAGAAGCTTGAATGTCTTCCTCAAGTTCCTCTAAATCCAGCCTCTGAAAACTTCTTTCATTATTCACAAGAAGTGAATAATCCAGGACAGGGTTAGAGGCACTAACTGAAGCCTGGCATTCCCCTGAACAACTTGCAGAGGATGTTGCAGCACCTGTCTCTGATTCCACAGAAGGTTGATCCTGGGTGGCATCTGTGCATGGATTTGGATTTGAAGGACCTTCTCCAGGATCTTCAATATTCTCTGAGAATGTAGAACATTCAGAGGAAACAGCAGGGGTCTCTGAGCATATGTCTTTTTCTTCTTCTTTCAAAGCTTTGGGCATAGTGACAATATCTGATGACAAAGATGGAACAAACTTTTCATCTTTAACAGGTGCATCCTCTTCTTTGACTGTGGAACTTACAGATAAAATTGCTGATGTGTCAATCTTTTTCTTCTCTTTTTCATCATCATCTTCTGAAAGTGAAGGGAAAGTCTGGCAGATGGGGTTCTGTGATGACTTTGTTTCCATTTCACTCGGAGTATCAATAGTTGTGTTCACCTGTGATTTATCATCAGGCAGGGAATTACCACTCTCTGAAGATATTATCAGGGATGTTGGGTCTTTATTTTCCTCAAGAGACTCCTGTAAGTCCTCTTCATGCCTCCGATACTTTTTACGAGGGGGTGAATCAGACAGCTTTTGTGGTTCATTGTCAGATATCACAATGGTCTCTTCTTCATGTGAAATGCTTGCTTGATTCAATTTTTTTCTCTCATTCAGGATATCCAGTGCCACTTTTAGTGATCTTCTGTAAGCTGTTTCCTCTTGAGGTGGGGCATTGTCCTCTGACTGTAGCACAAGAGAGGAGGCAATGGCTTCAACTTGAGATTTCTCAAGAATCTTTGTTTCTGTGATATCCACTTCAATCTTGTCATCTAGTGAGAGTATTTGAACTTCTAGGGAAATTGTCTTTTGTCTCTTACTGTCTGATGAAGTTTCAGATCTGGTCAAAACTTTCGCTGGCCATAACTGGTCTTTCCAATTGCACAGGACATACTCAGCTTCCATGATGATTTTGAGTTGTGTGCCAAGGAGCTCTTATCAGAGGTTGAGGTGGCTTGCTGTCCTTGTTACTGCAAACACAGTTCCTACCAAAACAATACTCTCAACAAAGTCTCTTTTGTTTTAGGACTACAAAGAGTTTATAGCTTTTTTGTCTTCTCCACTACAATAACCCCAGGATTCGTGAACACGTTGTTTGAATAGGACAATACTGAAGATACTGAAATGGGGGGAAAAAAGTATCAGCAAACAAAATTATTTTGTCAAAATAGAATATGAGCAATTGAAAACCAAGAAGAAATAAACTAGAGATAAGAATGCTCAATACAAGATCAGACAGTGAATAATGCAGCACAATTTAAGGGGAGATAGGAACTGGAAAATTGTTTTACAATATGTCAAATTCAAGAACTTGCACATATTTATTAAGGAGTTATGTGTATACATGTAGGCATAGGGGGAGGGCTTATGGTGGTGTTTCAGGAAACTTATAGTATTAGACTCTGATATTTTTATCCCTCTACTATTTGACCTATGGCAGTGGGTCTCCAAACTTAATATGTATCAGAATCATCTGGAAGACTTAGATTTCTAGGCACCCTCCTGAAAGTCTTAATCAGAATGTCTGGGTTGAGCTCAAAAATTCATATTTCTAATAAGTTCTCAAATGATTTCAATGCTACATGTCCAAGAGGAACTTGTTGAGAACTAGTATACTAGCCAAATACACAGCATTATAAATTTTAAGTTCTACCAAAGCATCCAGACAAACAAAACAAGGTCTGTACCTACTGCATCTACACAACAACATACTGACCTTCTAAAAATCATAAGCAGAAGACAGAGACTCAGAATGGCTACTATGGACACTTACTGGATCTAGTGGTTTCAAGTATTTGAGAGCCAGATCATTGTCTGAAAACTTGGGTAGACACCTGAAAAGCCTCTTGCATAATTTTTGCTTAGTGGTTTTATACATTAGATTCTCAAAATGAGAAGTTGAGAAATTTTAACTTCTTACATTAATTACAAATATTATGGCTAGAGAAGAAGGATCAAGTTGAATTATACCTCAGATTTTCAACTGAATGCGATTTTAATATGAAATGTGGTTTTTTTTTTAGTTTAAAGTACATAGCTGCAAAGCATGAAGCAAAATATTCTTCATGATCTCAATAAGTGTTTAATGTGAAATATTGCATGAAATGGGAATAGTCTTACCCTGCCACAAGAATTGTGGTAGTCTGGTCCTGTAATACAGCTGTCTTGATTCTTACTCCAACTGTTTGTCTAGCACAGCCTTCACCCTGCTGGGCACTTCTGTTGTTGTACTGTCTTTCTGGGGCTCACCTGGAATCACATGCAGATTGCCCAGGTCTCATGGAACTCTGATATTAACCTAGGATATCCAAAAGGAAGACAGGGGATCAAGGCAATAAAATGGAAAAGATGTAAGGAAATTTCCCTACCAAAACACTATCAAGTATGTCATTCTGAAACACAGAGACAAAGTGAAATCTTATCCCTGATGTAGATTTCATGTCCTTATAATATGAAATGTTCTTTGAGACACATTTATATTATTTGGTTCATGATGAAATCATGTCTCTCAGGAAAAGTGTGAGGTCGAAATAGGAAAGAAGGAAGTAACAATTACCTTGTTCTACAAGTCAGAGTATAGATTTTCTATTGAATCCATCAGTTATCATGTATACTTCTTTCTTTTTGATACACAAAATTTTCAATGGAATCACAGTTACACTGTATATGCTATCTATTAATACAAAATAATTTCATTGCTTTTTTGCCTACTTCAAAAAAATGATTGCCTGGAAGAAATTTAGGCTGTTTGACAAGCGACATCTTGTGACCAGAACCAGAACTGCAGCCTTCCCATAAGATATAGGGAGGACCTGAATCACTACTAGATCTTTCTTATGGGAAGAATATGGGAACTACTCTAGCCATCCAGGAGCCTGCTAGTGCTTCTAGACTTCTCTATTCTAAACTTAATGGTTCTGTTGTATGGGATTATAACAGGAATATATGTCTTCAAACATAATGTTTCTTATTATCAAAACACCCAGAAACCCTTAAAATTGAAAAGATGCAAAAATATACATGCCAAAGAAATTATAATTCTATACAAACAACCTCTATGACTATTCTGCATGTATCATTCTAGAATTATTTTACATATATAGATAAATATCATTTCAAACTAGCCTTAGATTTCACTCAAGAGCATAAATATTTTCCACATGATGTTTTATAAATTATTTTAAGTGAAATTTTCTCAAGACTACTATATTTTAGCTCAACATTTCCTTTAAGATGTGAAAAATAAATAAGTATATATTATTAATTTTTAAAATAGAGAACAGTAAAGCAATCTCTGTTTCTCCAACTATACAAATAATCCTATTAGTAATTTGGCAGATATGCAATTCCAGATTTGGTTACATAGATGACAGTAACATATATACATATAAACTAGTATATTTATTTATTCTGAGGAGAGATCATATACTATATGCTATTCTATAACTTAATTTTTCATCTTAAACTATTTCTCAGGCATTTTCAACTCACATGTACAGATTCATGTTTGTATTCACCAGATACATAATATTCCATTATGTGGATTTACCATCCCATATAATATTTTAAATTGCTTATACAAATAAACCAAATATTGTGTCTCACTATTAACTTAGGTGATACAGAAAAATGGTTCTTGCTGACCATAACTATATCTGTGGCCTGAAATAATGAGCTGCAAGGAGGATACACACAGGAATATAGTCAACACAGCAACCAGGCTAACTATTTGATCAGGTCCAGGAAAATTTCCACTATTGGCAAAAGGCGGGGGATTATGGGAGCATGTCTGTGTGTTTGTCTATGAATGTTTATGTGTCTGAAACAAAATGGATATTATGTTCTAGCTTAAGTTTTCTTTCATGATTATAAAAACAATCATGAAGAAATCCTTTCTTAAATTATGGAAATAGGTTATAAAATAGTATTTAAATAGTAACCTACTGACCCAGGAATGCTGAATGTTAAAAAGAGCTTATTTTCTCACAGATTTCTTTCTAATCACCCATATATACATGTATATATTATGTGTAAGTATCTTCACTCAACTACATATTTGATCTCCTTTCCATGCTCATGTATATGTGACACACGGTCTTCTTATGTATCAATCAATTTACAGAAGTATTTCCACGCATGCTGTCAAAACATTTGTCAGTTAAATTTTTGTATAAATCAATAAATGTTTAAAACTTCAAACAGAAACATAATGTCTAGCAATATACACATGGAATGCTAACTCAATAAATTAGTATGAACAGCCACGCTGCACTGACTGAAGCCTTAATTTAGAGGCTGTAATCTGATCACCCCTTCTCCCACTGTGGACTTATAAACATTGGGAGATACAAAAATTCCAGAGGACTAATTCCTTCAAAATGCCTGTAATTCTCGCAAAACCACACTCCGTTCCTACCACTCCAAGACCATCATCCCTATTTTTCACATCTATACTCTAGGGCCCTCAGAAGTCACTGGAAAATAACTAAATTTAAGACAGCCATTACCTTGAAGCTTCTTGTCAGCTGCAGCCTGGAGAAATGCAGCTCCTCCCCCAAGACTGGCCAGGCACAGCTCACTGCCAAGCAGCTCAGAGAAGGCTCCACCCACTGGCTGAGATGAAGAGCAGAAGGCCCCTCCCTGAATTAAAGGACAGAAACGCCAAGACAAACTGCTGAAATGTTGAAGTATGGAAATGTTCCTTTTAAAAGAACTTTAAAGTGAAATGGCAACAAGTGTCTGTTTAATTTCCATTCAAATGCTTCAGTGGGTGATTTCTCGAAGAAAAGAGGCAGCAAATCACTTTACCATATGATAAAAACCCAGTTAAATATTTTTTTACATTTTTTTCTTGCCTTCTCTAGCATCTTACTGCTACAGGTAAATTTAAAACCCAGCTTTGTCAAACTGCACTAAACACGACTGCTAAGCTATTGATTGTGAGGAAAATAAAAAGGGAGACAGAGAGACAAGGTGCAGAGGCAGGAAAGTGGCTGCTTGACCAAGCAGCCTCATTTATTTATACCAGTAGGCTACATTTGGTCATTAGTACCATAACTACGTTATTGTTTAGAGTATCAGTAAGGTTGCTTATTTGCAGTTCCATTCCAGTTACAAAATGCAATGTCAGGAGCTTTGTGATGCTCTTAAGAAAGTTCATTGTCTAAAATTACTGTTAAGCACACAGATCCAGGAGCACTGGAGCTTGGTGAAACACTGTAGTTATCTAGCAAGCAAGTTTCTCTATTCCCAGGAGTTATGTGCCTAAGATCAAGGTCGAAATTGATAAAACCCTTAACACAGAGCTTCCTCCTGAAGAACATTGCTACAGCGGCCAGGCATCCCGTGTCTTTTACATGGAAGTTCCCAGCAGTCAGGCATTCTGTGCCTTTGCACAGAAACTTCCTAGCCACCAAGCATGCCACAATCACTATGTTTATCAGAGACCCCAATCCCAAACACAGGACGCCTACAATTGATAGGGATTGTATTAAAACTGTCCACTATTTATGGGAGAACTGACTTCTTAAAAATTATTATTTTTATTATTATTTTATTATTTCATGACATATTATGTTTCCCCTTTTACTCAGTTCTCCTCTGGAACCCTTCATGGAGGTTTCAACAAATTCTTCACATACATGCTCATTTAAAAAAAAAAACAGTTGTAGACAGACACCATACTTTTATTCTATTTATTTTTTATGCAGTGCTGAGGATTGAACCCAGTGCCTCACGCATGCTAGGCAAGTACTCTACCATTGAGCTAAGCTCCCAGAATACATGTTCATTTTTTATAAGAGGTTGAAAATCATTGTTTTGGCAGGAAAATACCCATTTCATATTTCCTCATCAATAACTGGAAATTTCTCCTTTCTGTTTTGTTGTTGTTTTTCATTTGAGCA